GTTAGGGGAACGTGAGTCGATTCTCTAACTTTTGATGCCCATCTTGGATAGCTGGCTGGATCTTGTCTCCTGGAACTGGTTCTGACATGGAAAGAATAGCGGGGAAAGTTCCAGACCAGATCTCGGAGCTCCAAAATTAATTCAGGCATGGCCCGGCCTAAACTATAATGCAGTTGCTTTGGTTTTGGTTTAGCTTCACCGTGGTGAATGGACCCCATCGTTATGGTTTGTAAACCAGGGTCTGTGATTTAGCATGTTCTGTGAAGTAGCTCACTGTGATTTTTTTTTTCAACCAACCAAGATTGAACAAAACATGGGTCAGAATATCATGCAAACCTAGCAGTAAAGGATACTGGAATATCGTTACAGAATACAGAATAACAAGTTAGGAAGGGACCTCGGAGGTCTTCTAATCCAATCTTCTCCTTGAGCAGGAGACCCTATAGCATTCCGGAAAAATGACTGTCCAATCTCTTAATAATAAAGTTGGAAGGGACCTTGGAGGTCATCAAGTCCAACCCCCTGCTCAGGCAGGTAACCCTATACCATTTCAGACAAGTGGCTGTCCGGTTTCTTCTTAAAAACCTCCAGGAATGGAGCATCCACAACTTCTGGAGGCAGGTTGTTCTCACTGATGGTCCTTGACTTACAGCCACTAAGTGACTAAGTGAGAAAGTTATTCAGTAAATTTGGCCCCGTTTTACGACCTTTCTTGCCACAGTTGTTAAGTGAATCACTGCAGTTGTCAAGTTAGTAACCCGGTTGTTAAGTGATTCTGACTTCTCCATTGACTTTGCTCGTCAGAAGGTTGCAAAAGTTGATCACAGGACCCCGGAATACTGTTAACCGTCATAAAATGAGTCCGTTATTAAGCATCTGAATTTTGATCGTGTGACCATGGGGATGCTGCAGTGGTCGTAAGTGTGAAAAACAGTCATGAATCCCCTTTTTCGGTGCTGTTCAATGATTCAGTTCAAACGGTCACTAAACGAGCGGTTGTAACTCAAGGACTACCTGTATAAAATACAGTGAGAACAATTAACCAGGGGAACAACCTGCCTCCAGAAGCGGTGAATGCTCCAACACTGGAAGTTTTTAAGAAGAGACTGGACAGCCATTTGTCCGAAATGGTATAGGGTTTCCTGCCTGAGCAGGGGGTTGGACTAGATGACCTCCAAGGTCCCTTCCAACTTTACTATTATTATTATTATTATTATTATTATTGTTGTTGTTGTTGTTGTTGTTGTTGTTGTTGTTATTATCACTATATCAATTTGTACCATATCCTAAAATTAATATTTTGCTACCGCAACTCCTTCCTCTTGAATATTTCCCAGATTCATTGTTGAGAGAATTGCTAACTCTCATATGACGGCTTTAGGACAGAATACCCAGTTCCCCCTTTTTGGTCTGTCTGATAATCCGGTAAAATAATTCAAGTTGGGAGGCGGTGGCTGTTTACAAAATGCTCTTGAGCCGTGTTTCTCAACCGTGGCTGCTTGAAGATACACGGACGTCAGTTCCCAGAATTCCCTAGCATTTGCTGGCTGGGGAATTCTGGGAGTTGTCCACACTCCTTCAAGTGCCAAGGTTGAGAAATGCTGCTGTAGACCAGGGGTCCCCAAACCCCGGTCCGTGGACCGGTATCAGGCTGCAGCATGCCAGCAACCGGTCCGCACAAATGAGCAGAGCCCCATCCGTGGGATGCAGGCAGCACAGAAAACCACGCACTGTCTGGTCCACGGAAAAACCTTTCTCCACGGATCCGCTCCCGGGTGCTCTAGACTAAAATGTGGTTTGGTAACTATAGCGTGACCCAGTTGGGACAATTATTTGGAGATATTTTTTTTCCCCAAACTTAGGCAACTGGCCTCCTTCACTAAGCCACTTGAGCCGTACAAGATCACTTTAAGTGCTTCATACTTAAGCAGGGATTTGGATTTTAGATTCCGTGCTCCCTTCCCCCACCGGATTCATTCCATGAAAACTCAATAACATCTTACGATTATGAAAGATGAAATACTAATAAGTTCGTTGTCGAAACTGTATCATCTCTGGGTGTGTGTGTCTGTATGTATGTGTGCGTTTAGGCTGGATTACACATTGTTTTAATAATGGCTTGTTGACTAATCTAGTGGCCAGGTTTACATAGCAACACCGAGATGTACACCATAACATGCAACCCACAGTGTGGCATTCATACAACTTTCTGAGCCAAAACTTAACCATCAGACTGTGGTACTTTTTAGACGCATGAAGTGAGTGATTGTTTTATGGTGGTTCAGAAATAAAATTACTGAGCACTGAAGCTCAGCTGCCGCCCTCCTGCCTGGTTGTATTCTTATTCATCTTTTGCGCAAAACAAGCAAGTCAGCCTCCAAAAACTGACAATTTTGGTGCATGCCTCATCGCAGGATATAAACCTCAGTGAAAGTATCTTTCTGTCCAAGTATTCCTTTCTAGACATGATGCCTGTTTTGAAACATATTCAAGGCTCAAATCTTTGAGACATTTACAAAGTGAGCAGTGAGCAGTAATAAGAGATACTGTTTGTATATACAGAACATTTCACGACCTGTTGACGCATTAAAACAGGCTTGTAATTTGGTAATTTAAAGACTTGTGGACTTCAACTCCCAGATTTTCCCAGCCAAGAGTTGAAGTCCACAAGACTGTAAAGTTGCCAAGGTTGGACAACCCTGCATTAAAATATTTGAAAGGGCTGAAGTTGTACATCAGCAAAATAGTTGCTGCTTGCCAGGTTTTCTTGTTGCTTCAACACTTCCTGTTCAGCCTGACCTTGGCTTGCTAAGATAACTCATCCGTCTCCTTATCCCTGGTTCAGAGAGGCCCACTACTTATTTGTGAAAAGGAGGAGAGCTGGAGATGCAACCTGCTCAACCTCTGAGCTTTGGTTCCACAAGGATAGGGGAAGGTGGTTTGGATGGACCGAAGCTAGTCTAGAAACAGAGGAGATTGGAAGCTGAGGAAGGTAGAATCTTTCAGTACGGAAGAGGATCCCCTTGAGCAGCTGCTGCTTCGTGGATCAATTATTGATCGATTGTGTTCCCATCTCCAAGGTGCAAAGATCTCTTTTCTACATGGCATGCTTCTCCTTTTACTGAAGGGGTGTGATAAGATTGTATGGAGCACAAGTGGGGTTGGTCCTAGTCAGATTGTGGTATGGAATGTGCGGAGAGATGATGGTGTCCAAGGTACGGTTTGTAAGTCAAGTGTAAGTCAAGTGTCAGTGAAGCCGGTCTGATTTTTACTGCCTACATTGGCTGGATTGAGCTCGCTTCCACTGTGCTCTCATCTTCTCTTATTCAGCAGCCCATTGCCCGGCTCTGGTGTCCATCCTTTAGCCCAGGGCCCCTCACCGGCCAGTCCAAGAATGGAGAAAGGAAGTCCAGGAGTCACCAGGAGTACTTGGAGCGACTCTCTACCCAGGAACGGTATGGCTTGGGGTTTACATGGACCAATGCGGGCACGTAATTTAATTCAACAGTTGAAGGGGATGAATATATATATTCTCTGGAAAGTGAACTTGCTTTGCTGTCTTCTGTAATCAAATGCAACTCTCAGAGAAAGAGTCCCTAGAAAAGCCTTCAGGTAAAATGGATCTTCTCAGATCTCATATAGGAAGTGTTGTTATTGTCCAGATTGGTGGAATGGTTGATGCTCCACGTTTTCTGGACAGAAAAAAGACTCAGTGACAGTTAGACCCCCATCTATGTATCTTTCTATGAGTTGCAATCTCTTTAGAGATATAGATATGGAAGTGTATTTCTTTAAGTATATGTAAGAATAAGCTCTTTTCTTCCTTTTGGGCTGAAGATTATTCCTTCCTTCCATCACCACCTCCTCCTTACAGTTTGACTCACGTATTAATGCTAATATGATGCAAATTACAGCTAAGTCAGCAAACACACGGGCTGAAACATCCAACTCTGGAGATTTGCCATAATATAGTGGGTGGTCAGCTATTTTTGTTGCTTTGGGGATAATTCTTGCTAAGAAAGATGAAAACAGCGAAGCTTCTTCTAAAATGTTTTCCTGTGCTCCTTAATCAATATAGACTGAGTGTAGTGACACAAAAACATTTTGAGCAAATGGACGATCTTTTTGATGCTGGGGAACCATGTGGGTTTTTGAAGAGCAATCATATGTACTGCCTTTCTGTTGGTTTTTGTTGCTGTTTGGGGAGCTGTAGCCAATCCCAAGTCACTCAAAAAGCATATAGTGAAATTGCTCCCAATTAGTCCTTTTGGCTCCCCCCAACATGCTCTGTTCTGTTTCATTTTACTTCCAGTTTTTTTCCCTTTTCTGGACCAATGGACACCCTTCCAAAGAAAGAAATGAGCCACCCATCAATCTTAATTTTGCTCACTTGGGTGGCTGTGTTGTTTGAGTGCGTCTATGAGTTCAAATTAAAATATGTAAAATAAGAGGAATAATTTGCTCCAAGGGAAGCCTTGTAGATGGTTGGAGATGAATATCTCTACTCGGCATAACGTGGATTTGCTGTTTCTTGCAAAGTCTTTTATTGAAATTTGGTTTATACGATTGGCTCAAAGTTCGCTCTACTTTTTCCTTTCAATTCCAAAGATTCACTCTTTCTCTTGTTTTCTTCATCCAGATCCTCTGAGACTTCCTGGGCAAAGTCCCTTTCTTGATTCTTCAGAAATCGTTCTAGATACTCCTCCCAAGAGAGATGAGAAGAAGGTGAGATGCAATTTCCACCAAAAGGATTTGCTTTGGATTCGATTGTTATGGGCTGTCAAGTCTTTCTCAACGTGGCTTCTTCTAGATCAGGCATCTCCAAACTTGACAACCTTAAGACTTATGGACTTCAACTCCCAGAATTCCCCAGCTGGCATGAAGTTGAGTTGAACTCCACAAGTCTTAAGGTTGCCCAATTTGGAGACCTCTTTTTTTAGATACATTGGGACAACTTCTAAAATCTGAGGTGGAAAACCTTCCAACATCTGAAAGGCCACGGATTTTCCGATCTTGTCTAGAACGTTTTATTATCATGAGCCAAATAATAAATAAGCCCTATTCATGCCTCTAGTTAATCTGCTTTAATTTTTCTGCTCTCACTGAAAAGTAAATTGATGAGAGACTTTGCAGTCCAGGGTTTTTTTCCCTTTCCGTGTGTTGCCAGTTTATCAGAATACAAGTGTTTCTCTCTCTCTCCCTGATTGATAGGATAACTTTATGTCTTGGAGGGGAATTGTAAAACTTTCTGCAGGAATTTGGCAAACACAAAACCTCTCTTGCATCACTGAGTGTTTGTCAGCATATCAAGAATAGGCGAGGTTAGGGCGTGAATTAAACATTAGAAAAGAGCTTAGATTGGATTTTCCATTGCTTAAGGTATCTATTCCACTTCCGGTATTCTAGTATAGGCCATACCAGCATGCTTAGTACAGATAGTCCTTGACATAATAATAATAATAATAATAATAATAATAATAATAATAATAATAATAATAATAATAATAATAATAATAATAATAATAATAATAATAATAATAAAACTGCTTCCATCCTGCGACGATATCTGTAATACCATCAAACATCCACATCTGCCTATCCCAGGTCCTGGGTAAGGACTCGATAGGTAGACAAAATGCCAAATCCAGTCTAAACATCTGGCTGACTATGCGATGATCCATAATAATAAAGTTGGAAGGGACCTTGGAGGTCATCTAGTCCAACCCCCTGCTCAGGCAGGAAACCCTATACCATTTCAGGAAAATGGCTGTCCAGTCTCTTCTTAAAAACTTCCAGTGTTGGAGCATTCACCGCTTCTGGAGGCAGGTTGTTCCACTGGTTAATTGTTTTAACTGTCAGGAAGTTTCTCCTTAGTTCTAGGTTGCTTCTCTCCTTGATTAGTTTCCATCCGTTGCTTCTTGTCCTGCCTTCAGGCTCCTTGGAAAATAGCTTGACTCCTTCTTTTTTGGGGCAGCCCCTGAGATATTGGAACGCTGCTATCATGTCCCCCCTCGTCCTTCTCTTCATTAGACTAGACATACCCAGTTCCAGCAACCGTTCCTCATATGTTTTAGCCTTACAACAGTTCATTTAGTGACTGTTTGAAGTTACAGCACTGAAAAAAAGTAACTTGTGACTGTTGTTCACTCTTATGACCCCAGCAGCATCCCCATAGTCACATGATCAAAATGGGGATGCTTGTCAACTGACTCGTATTGATGACGGTTGCAGTGTCCGGGGATCCCCTTTTGCGACCTCCTTACCAGCAAAGTCATTAAGGAGGCCAGATTCACTTAAGACCTTTGTGTTACTAGCTGAGCAACTGCAGTGATTCCCTTAACAACCGTGGCAAGAAAGGTCGTAAAATGGAGCCAACTCTTTCACTTAGCAACCAAAAAGGTTGGGCTCCGTGGCGGTTATAAGTCAAGGGCTACCTGTAATTGTGTTCTTTGTTTTGTTGCTGTTTTCTTTTTTATGTTTTACTATACCGGTGAAGAGCCCAGTTTCTCTTTAGAACGGAGTGCCCTTTCATTGGGTTTTGGATTCGGGGTCCGCTTTTAACTTATTTTTCTCCCTCCTGCCAGATGAAAGCTGCTCGCCTCAAATTTGATTTCCAAGCGGAATCGCCAAAGTAAGTAGCAATATTTGGCAGCCTTGAGCAGTCATACAATACTTCGGTGTCTTGGCGCTGTTGCCGCCACGCTGGTGAGTTGTGATTGTTGTAGCGCGGAATTGAGGCCCAAGGTTGCATTGAGCTCTTGTAAGCCTATGGCAGGGGTCTTCCAACTTGGCCCTTTTATGACGTGTGGACTTCAACTCCCAGAATTCCTCAGTCGGCCATTTTGATGAAACTGCGGGCTTGGATCCAGACCAGGGATCTTCAAACTTGGCCCTTTTATGACTTGTAGACTTCAACTCCCAGAATTCCTCAGTTGGCCATTTTGATGAAATGGCGGGCTTGGATCCAGACCAGAAGTCTTCAAACCTGGCCCTTTTATGACTTGTGGACTTCAACTCCCAGAATTCCTCAGTTGGCCATTTTGATGAAACTGCGGGCTTGGATCCAGACCAGGGGTCTTCAAACTTGGCCCTTTTATGACTTGTGGACTTCAATTCCCAGAATTCCTCAGCCAGGCACGCGTGGGATCAACATTGGGGTTACCCCCCAATAACATTTTCAAGCTTTAGCAAACAGACTATTGTCTGGGTACATATGTTCAGTTAACAATAATTAATATAATGGTAAATAGCTGTAGTAAATATGGTAAACGATAATCATAAACAGTATAGTTGGTCAATGCATATCATCCTTCTTACTAATATATATTCAAAATAACATATCACATTCATTTCTCACTAGTCTGTTTTCCTAACCATTGATAAAAATTATCCCATGTTCTAAAGTAAACTGAATCTTCTTTCTCTTTAATCTCTAAAGTCAATCTATCCATTTCTGCACATTCTAAGATTTTCTTAATTAAAACCAGTTGGTACGTTTTCATTTTTCCAGTATTTTGTACTGGAATCTCTTAACTGTGAAAAGAATTTAGTCCAACTTAAATGTGAATCTTGCCTTTCTACGAGTACTGAAAGCAGATAACACGATTTGAAAAACAAAAGCAATATTTAAAAGTTTAGTTTTTTTTTAAAAATGGCATTGGCTACTCAGAATAGAGAGGCAGGATGGAAACCGAGTAAACCAAACGGAAAAAGCCAATCTGCTTTCCAAATGCAACAAGATGCCTCACCCCATTCTAGGCCACGTGATCTGCTTGTGTGAAGCTTTGCCCAGGTCCTCCACGTCTCACAGTTTTGCTGCTTGAGTGGAGAATGTATCCTAGGACACACCCGCTCTCCCCCGCAGGATATTTCCTGCAGCAACATAGCTTGAAAACCACAACGACATTCTTTGGACCCAACGAAAGTATAATGCAAAAGGCTCCATTGGCCTCCATCGTGGCATTAAGCCATTAACCTGAACAGGCGGTAGCTTGTACAAACCCAGTGAGTGACTTGAAGAGACCCTTGAAAGAATATTTTAACAATGGTCCTTATGTTACCTATTTCTCTTTCAGAGAACTGACTTTGCAGAAAGGTGATATTGTTTACATCCACAAAGAAGTAGACAAAAACTGGCTTGAAGGAGAACACCACGGCAGGGTGGGCATTTTCCCTGCTAATTACGTGGAGGTAAGCTTCTGGTGCCATTGGGACTTTTTTTTTTGCTGCCCAAGAAAAATTGAACAGATTTTGTATACCTATATCGAAGAGAGAGGAGGTAGCAGAAATTGAGGCAGGGGGGAACTTTTAAGAGTTCAGGATCCCCGCTTGCTAAAGGGCAAAATTAGTAGTAAATTTGTTTCATTGTGCCATGCTGGATGTTGACAAACATACTTGGATGCTTCAGTATTATTGTTTTTCTAGATCTTTTAAGGCGTTGTGAATATTGCAATTATTTTGGAGTTGAAGGGTTGTCATCAACTCTGGAGCTGTTCATTTGCCTTGTTGTGGTCTCATAATGAGTTGCAGTGTTGTGTCATGGATTCTAGAGCCAAGGGCCACCGTTAGTCTCTGAATCAGCTGGGCCAGGACAAATGATAAGTGTGATTTAATTTAGACATGATAAAATTAGTTAATGGCATGAAATAATTGTTTGGATTAGCCCATGTTTTGAAAATCATTTTCTCACTTAGTGACCGTTTGAAGTTACAATGGAGCTTCACAAGGCTACTTACAACCTCGATTCGAAGTTCTAATGGGTGCCCCCATCCTCTGATGACATGGGTCCTTAACATTTATGCTGTTTGTAGCATCTTGGGGTTATGTGACTGCAATTTACAATGCTTTTTGCAGGAAAGAGACATTTACTTCTGATTTCTGGCAAAAAAAACAACAACCCATCCATTGCAGAAAATGGATTGTAGCATTTGCTTAACAATCCACAGCATTCACTTTTCAGCCACCGTGTTTGTTTCGTGACTGCCACAAAATGGTTATAAAAAGGGACGTGATCACGTAATTCCGGGCTCCATTGCAGTCATAAGTCAAGGACTACTTGTAGGGCCCAGATAATGTGTGACATCTAGTGTTCTAGCATCTTTAAAGGCCATGGTTAGTATTGGCTAACAAAGAAAAGGGGCATTGTTCCGACATTCAGGGAGAGAATTGGAGCAGAGGACAAGAGTGTGGCATTCCCAAGCATTTCTTTCCTTCATGCCCTCACTGCCAAGGATGTGTTCCAGTAATAATAATAATAATAATAATAATAATAATAATAATAATAATAATAATAATAATAATAATAATAATAATAATAATAATAATAATAATAATAATAATAATAATAAAGTTGGAAGGGACCTTGGAGGCCATCAAGTCCAACCCCCTGCTCAGGCAAGAAACCCTATACCATTTCAGACAAAGGGCTGTCCAATCTCTTCTTAAAAACTTCCAGTGTTGGAACATTCACCGCTTCTGGAGGCAGGTTGTTCCACTGGTTAATTGTTCTCACTGTCAGGAACTTTCTCCTTAGTTCTAGGTTGCTTCTCTCCTTGATTAGTTTCCATCTGTTGCTTCTTGTCCTGCCTTCAGGCGCTTTGGAGAATAGCTTGACTCCCTCTTCTTTGGGGCAGCCCCTGAGAGATTGGAAGGCTGCTATCATGTCCCCCCTCATCCTTCTCTTCGTTAAACTAGACAGACCCAACTCCAGCGACCGTTCCTCATATGTTTTAGCCTCCAGTCCCCTGATCATCTTTGTTGCTCTTCTCTGCACTCTTTCTAGAGTCTCAGCATCTTTTTTACATCGTGGTGACCAAAACTGGATGCAGGATTCCAAGTGTGGCCTTACCAAGGCATTGTAAAGTGGTATTAATACTTCACGTGAAGATGCTCGGTGTTCAGGTGAACTCTAGGAATCCGTATCCCAGGTTAAAGCCATAACCCTGTTATCCTGCTGCTTCTTTTCCAACACAGGTCCTGTCTCCCACCGAAGTTCCCAAGCCCATCAAAATACCCTCCATCCAGGTCTTGGAGTATGGGGAAGCGGTGGCCCAGTACAACTTCAAGGGAGACCTGGCGGTGGAGCTGTCTTTTCGAAAGGTATCAAAGTCCACTTATTAGCAGAAACATACATTCTAGCGCAGAGTGGAACCAGCAACACAAAAGCTTCAGAGCCTCCTTCCATAGCCTGTCTGGGCTCCAGGCCAAGTTCATTCCTCTCCAACAGATGTTGGCTTGGTTGGCACTCTGCTTCTCATAAATGAAGCTCTGAGGCAGCCAATAATATTTTAGTCCCTCTAGGAAAAATGCAAAGGGCACCTCCTGTGGCGATGAGAATAATGTGCTTCCACTTTTGAACAGCAGTGTTGAACACTGCCACCCGAAAGAGGAGGGGTTGTTGCTGGGCCAATAGCAGAACCAGCTTTGCTGAGTTGATCGTCCTGTACCATCTCATCGCTCTTGGAAAACTCTGCACCAGAAATATTTCTTTTGCCAAAGAGAGAAAGATGGGCCTTGCAGATGTTTTGGATTACTGTTCAGCTCTCCTATGCATTAATCCATCTGTTTGGTGGACAGGGATAATAGACAAGGCAGCTCCACTCCTCTGGAGACTACAGTTTCATTTCTGTTGCTTTGTTTGAGCTCAATTGGGCATTGCACTTGCTCAATTTAAACGCTTTGTTCTGAATTCATCTTTCATTTATAAAGAGAGAGACACATAGCAAATAGTAGCTTCTGGAGAAAGACAAGAAGAGGACATGTATTTGTAAAGTCAAGTTGGTGGTTTGGTTGTTGAACCAATATTCCGCTCCACAAAACTTAATAATTTTATAAACCTGAAGGACATTATAGCAGTAATATTTCAGAGGGGCATTCTCTTCCCCTGGGGATCTGGGCAATTGTTGAAAAGAAAATGCAAAAAAGTAAACAAATAAACTGGCTGCTGTTGCTCAACCAGGCAAGGGGCCACAAGGACAGGTAAGCTAGGATAACAGGTGGCCAAAGATCTTTCAGAGAGAGTCGGGATGTTGTGGTTTGAATTATGGAGTTGTTGTTGCTTTAATGTTGTACACCACCCAGAGTTACTGCTGTAAGATGCTGTTCCCATCTTACACATCCTATATCCCATTGCTGATATGGGAGGCCCTGTAAATACACACACAGAGAGAGACATACTCACTCACACACACACATAAGTAAATATCAATATGGACCTATTGTGCCTGGAACAAGCTGGGTGGCCTTTAGCTTCAAAGCGGTTGCTGAGAAGGACAGACAATTCCTTTTTGGGTGTGCACTTCAGCCCCGGGGCTTCTCTTACATGCTCCCACGGCACGCTAATTTTTCTTCCCTCTGTTGCCAGGGTGAACGTATCTGCCTTGTCCGCAGAGTAGACGAGAACTGGTATGAAGGTCGCGTCCCTGGCACAAGCCGCCAGGGTATTTTCCCAGCCAACTACGTCCAGGTGGTGAAAGAGCCAAGGGTGAAGAATTCGGAGGACTATCCTTCCTCCCCGGGCCTCCCAGCCCTTACCAGCTCGTCCCCCCAGGCACATGCACCCAGCCTGGGCAGTAGGGGGCAGTCTGAGGCTTCCCCTTCAAGCCTGCCAAACGCTCTGGCTCCAGACCTGCTGTCCTCCTCCTCCTCCTCCTCCTTCTCCTCCGCCCTCTCTGGATGTACATTTCCCGTGTCTCCAAAATTTGAAAACCCCGAGACCACAACTCACAGAATCCGGGATGCACCCAAAGATGGCTCTTTCAGTCCCCAGAGTCAAAGCCCGGGGAGAATGTCCAGTGGCAGCCCCCGGCCTCTCAGATCTTTCCAGATGAAGGAGCCACCACGACCTGTTCCACCTGTATTGACTTCCCAAGCACAGACTTCCATCCCGCCGCAGGTGAGATGCCCGTTTCCCCCCCCCCAATTTCTCCTGTACGGTGTAAGTAGAGACCAAGCATAATTTGTTACCCCAAGGCTTCACGATAATAAGGGGCTACTTGCTGGCATGGTTCCCTCCTTTCATTTGGCATTCTCCTCTGGAATTACAAAAGCAGAGTTGCCGCTTTCGTAATGTGGGGCGTGCATGCAAAACAACAACGCACGTAGAAAGAGAGGGGGCTGGCACGGTGCCACCGTGCCACTGCTGGCATCCCTCTGCTTCTCTTTTCTCCCTACTCGGTGGATCCCACTGCCACAGGCTTAATTCATTACAAGGGTAGAAATATCCTTGGTACAGCATCACTTTAGACCACGTAGGAAATTCAAACGATATCCTGTTGGCAGCAGCCCCAAAGCAATGAGGAGAGTGGACAAAACAAATAAAAAACCAGCAACAACAACCCTTAGCAGGGGATAAAGTTTGCATTCCTTTCGGCGGACGTGGGTGTGAGCCTCTGCCCTAGGAGAGCCTAGCTGATCCGAAAAAGATTCCGGCTCTGTCTTGAAATGACTAATGGAGACTAGAAGGATAATCACGCTTAGTATCCCTACAGGTAATCCTGAACCTGTGACCAAAACTGAGCGCAAAATTTAAGTTGCCAAGTGAGACAATGGTTAAGTAAGTTTTGCCTCATTTTGCAACTTTTCTTGCCACCATTGTTAAGGTTTAGGTCCATCTTCCTTTCCTCCCACCTCTGGTTATTTCTTTCTGGTGTGCCACGTTTCTCATTCCTTTTTCTTGCTTCCCTGTGACTGCAGAATTCAGCCCTCGAGACAGTGTTTTCCCCAACTTCAAAGCCACAGAGCCCCCGACACGCCGCCAGAGACTCCCCCTCCAGCATCCAGTGGACTCCGTAAGTCGAGTAGATTCGCAGGGGTGGGAAGGGAAAGCCGGGCTCCTGCTGGCAGCTGGCCAGCCCCACCGTCCCTGTGAAGTGACCCATAGGGAGGGGAGGAAGGAGGGGGGGCTGGCTGTAGACAACCCCCTGGAGTGCCAGGCTTGGACAGTGTCTGGATTGTTCAAAACAAGGGCCCTTTTTCAGAGGGGCTTGCTCAACGCCTAGGGGAACAGAAGCTGCGGGCTGCTTTACCGGTGCCAAGTATTGCAAATGCCTGCTCGAAAGGCTGAGAGAAGATCAAGGTTTCCAAGCTGCAGGGTGTATGTGTGTGTGTGTGTGTGTCCACCTCTTTCCCCCACCCTGAATATTTGGGGAGGGGGGCAGGCAGGTTGCTCACCTCTGCACATTTCTTTTCCATGCACGAAACACAGTGCAGCGCCTCTCATCTGTCTTGCCTGCAGAAGGGATTTCAAGTTTATTTCCCTTAAGAAAAAAAAATCTGTTTTAATTCAGGTATAGGGAAAAACTAGTATGTGTGTACAGGGAGTCCTCGATTTCTGACCATAATAGCGTAAGTCGTGATGGTTGTAAAGCGGGTCATCACCCGACTGACCCTATTTTATGATCTTTTTGTGTGTGTGTGTGGTGACTGTTAAGTGAACACTGCAGTTGTTAATCACCAAAATGCAGTCACGTGACCGTAGGGGTGGGGGGATGATGGCCATCAGAACTTCGGAACTGAGTTGTAAATATGGTGGTACCTTGGTACTCATCGTTAATTGGTTCCGGGAAGCACGATGAGCACCAAAACTGAAGAGCACTAAACAATTTTTTACCATAAAGAATAATGTAGTGAGTCACAAGGTAGCCAACACCGACAGGTGCTAGTTGTGCGTTGGGTACCAAACTAGTTGTGTGTTGAGTACCGGGGACAAAATCTTTGCATCAAAATGCATTGAGTACCAAATTGGATGAGTTTCGAAGCACCTGAGTACCAAGGTACTGCTGTACTTTTTGGGAGGTTCTAATGGTCCCTAAGCAACCCGTAGTAAGTTAAGGACTACTTGTAGGTTGTTAAATAAATGAGAAGAAGACGTCCTCATCCATAGTTTGCGTGTTCCAGGTTCCAGGCTCTCTACCATTACAGACCTCAGAATGAAGACGAATTGGAACTTCAGGAAGGTGACCGGGTGGATGTGATGCAACAGTGTGATGATGGCTGGTTTGTGGGTATGTCTAGATTTGTGGTGACGGACACTTCAAAGCAGGGCGGTGGCAGATTTTAGTAGCCTGCAATTTTTTTCCCCACACCTTGAGTTGCCTTTGGAGACAGAAGCTGCACTCTCAAAAGCAGTGGGCAGGACTGGCATAAAATCTACATTTGATTTTCATTCCAGTTTGACTAAAATTAGACATAATGCATATGGTTATCCCCCAGTGGTGCGTTTTCTTTACAGTAAGGCTTTAGTAACATCTGAAGGTTTCTAGGGCTGTATCCAAGGCTTTTGAGGTCTACAAGTATCCTGTAGCTTCAAGTGAGGCACCTCCGCCTTATTTAACAGAATAACAAAGCTGGAAGGGACCTTGGAGGTCATCTAGTCCAACCCTCCTGCTCAAGCAGGAGACCCTATACCATTTCAGGCAAGTGGTTGTCCAATCTCTTCTTAAAAACCTCCAGTGTTGGTGGAGAAGATCTAGGGTAGACTTTGGAAGGCTGGCCACTGCCCAACTTTGCACTTAGTTTTAATTGAAGGCATCTTAAGAATAGTATTAAAAGGTAGGTGTGGTCAGTAATAGTATGTGGCAGTCTCCAAAAGGGATAGTTGTGAACTAATTGGTGCCCCTCGTTACTAGGCTGCCTATCCCGATCCAGGATCTGAATGAATGGAGAAGATCTCCCGTCATCTGGATCATGCCCTGAGTAGCAATTTTACCACACGAAAAACCACTCAGACAGATTTTATTATTTATTTAGCATATGTCATCTACAGAGGTTGTGCAATCACTGATATACAACCCTAATAAAACTCATACATAAAACAAAACCCCCCAAATATAAATTTAAACAAAACATCAGCAAATCAATCAATCTTTATTACGGTCACAGACCAGCAAAGCAAATGTACATATCAAGAACGTGGGCAATACAGATGAGAGAGGAATATTGTCCAAAACTTTGAAGCCGGGGCATAAGAAGTAGCAGATGTTGTGTTTTTTACAGATCCATTATTTATTTCGAGAGGCTTGTCCAGAATCTTCCAGGGGAAAAAAAAAAAATCTTGGAGCCTCAAACCTCTTGCTTCTTCATGGGTCTCTCCTGTGTTTTTTATTTCTGCACTAGGGGTCTCTAGAAGGACGCAGAAATTTGGCACTTTCCCTGGGAATTACGTTACCCCTGTGTGACCAGCCATCTCTTGAATCAGCATAATCTGCTCTAGGATCTTGCCTCCTTGGAGGAGTGCCCACAATCCATGGACACAAAGTAAAAAAGAGTAAAAGACACGATGTGAAAACTAATATTGGCCCCCAATATTGCCAGCTGGAGTCTGTATTCCTTGACTGTTATCTTTTACTTCTGCACCTTGGCTTCCTTGGAGAGGATGACTACAGCCTAGCTTCTTTTTCCAGTATTTAAGGAAGCATCACTAATTCCAGCATTCCTATGACAGATTTGGGTTTGGTTGAACAGAGCGTGCTGGCCTCTTGGCCGTAAATTTTCTCTTAATCCGGGATTCCTTATTTTTGCCAGTTCTTATAAGAGCAATTTGAAGGTAGAGGCGACCAGTCTCTACAGCTGAGCCTGTCCTAATTCTTCCCTCCAGAAAAATCCATTTTTTTTTTCTTGAAAGGACCATTGTTTGAAGACTTGGCCTATCAACCCAAAATCCCACACAACAGACGAGCTGACTGAGTTACCCAAGTACACAACCTCGGTGTGTGCCCCAGAGGAATCTGGGCCTTTCCACCAGGAGATTGTGCCCTTCACTTAACGTCGCGGTCATCCAGGAGGTGCTTTTTCAAATGGCAACTGGACTTTCTTTTTTTCCCCTTTTTTTTTTTTTTGCCTTGAAGACATTTCACTTCTCATCCAAGAAGCTTCTTCGGTTCTGACTGAATTTACTTAATTCAGGCAGATAAGCCGGAGGGTTACCAGAATTAACATTTTTGTGTCTTGCATAACCTCTCTCAAAAGCTTTGTTGCTGAACTTTGATCTAAACAACTCTTCCACCCAAAGACTCATGTAGAACTTTGATCTAAGTGACTTAACCACCGTCCTCTTTCATGCTCAGCCCTGCAGGCAGATGCACTTTCTGTGGGTTTTGGGTGACGCAAGCTAAGGGCAATCGGTTGAAGAGTGAAGAGAGTGGCTAGGGCTCTTCCTGCATGAAAGGTTCAGTCAAAATTCGAGTAAAGGGAGTCCTTGATTTATGACCGCAACATTACGAGCCCAAAATTTCTCTTTTGCTGAGAGAAAAAGCTGTTAAGTGAGTTTTGCCCCATTTTATGACCTTTCCTGCCAACGTTGTAAAGTGAATACACTGCAGTTAGTGACACGGTTGTTAAGTGAATCTGGCTTTCCCGTTGACTTTGCTTGTCAGTAGGTCACAAAAAGGGATCACATGACGTCAGCACACCGCAACGGTCATATATAGGAATCAGTTACAAAGTAGCTGAATTTTGATCATGGGGTCATGAGGATGTTGCAATGGTCGTAACTGTAAAAACAGCCATAGGTCACTTTTTTCAGTGCCATTGTAGCTTCACACAGTCACTAAACGAACTGTTGTAAGTCGAGGACTACCTGTACTCGCTATATGGGTTTAAAATATTGTTCCTGGTCATACTTCGTATCAAAAAGGGTACCGGCAATTCCTTGTTCTCCTTTTGCATTAAGGTCCATGTTGTCCAGAAAAGTCTTCTCCAAAATCTTGTTCCTATCTCCAGAACCAGAAATAAGGGATGCCAAAACAGTGTTGGCGGCATCTCCCGTCATAGATAATTGTGGTCTCCCTAAAGATATTTCTCATTTTCAGTCTTCAACTCCCAACTCTTCCAAATCCAGCATTATCTTTCACCTCCTGAGACAGCAGCCAAGATCCAAGAAACATCTAGAGATGATATTTCTCCAAGCCCCTCTGCTCCAATTACTGATGACATCCATTACAGATGGATGCAAAGTTGTGGTAAAAAGGAAGAGATGGAGGATTGTGTCAGGACACTGAGACATTTATGCCTCCTCCAACCTCAGTGCCCTATAGCAGTGCTGTTGTGTGGATAGACCCAATCTCATGTCCTGGAGTCAAACCGTGAACATTGGAACCAGTCCAATATAAGCCAGTTTCTCTTCCTAATGTAAACAGTTGAAATTGTCCTTTGTTGGTAACAGTCTAGGAGTATCTTGCCATTTCAGGCTCAGCATCCTACCTCAATAGACCTCTTTCCTTTGAGGTTCTGTTGCTTTTCACCACAATTTTATGCTCGGCAATACTCCGCTTACACAGAGTAATAAAAAGGTAAGGTAAGTTTGCTTTGGACTCTGTGTGAATGGTGCTATGCGTGTTTTCTCAGCTGCATCAGTCACCCAGAGTCCATCTCAGCTTGCTGAGATTGAGTGGAGGAAAACCTGAGTGGGTCTGTCATTCCTATGAGGACTGCTCATTGGTGATGGAGAGATTAAAGTGGCAAGCAAGCTTTGTTATGGGAAGATTTATCTTGCCCGCATTCACTAACCTATTTGTAAGTAGCCATTGGTTTTTCCTGGTTCGAAAGCTACTGATTAAGCCTATTCCATAAAAACTGGGAGTCCCTAGCTTGACATATTTTGCAGGATGTGTTATTCTGAAACTGCCTAGCTTCACCAGAGTCCTTCAAAAGGGTGTTTAGTTATTAACTCTGGAAAAAGAGGTCCATATCTACAATTGTCCGTATGATTCGTCCTGCCAATAAAATTCTCACGAGCTAAAGCTGCCATCCGGTGTGGCATTTACTTTTCTTGCCCTTGAACACGCACAGTTTCAAGAGCGCACATGAGTGATTGTGCCACAAATCCTGAAGAAATGGTTGCCTATTGTGGCTGTGCTGGGGTGGGAGGTAGGCAGACCTCTGATGTACAAAGCCACAGGGAATTCTCTTACACCACAACGCCGCTCCTGTTTATTGCAGTGGCACACCAGAAATCTTCTGCGGAATTGGGTGTGCATGTGCTAATTTTTGGCGCACCGTACAGGCAGTGCTCAGCTTATACAATTATAACTCGGACCAGAATTTCCATTGGTAAGCAAGATCGTTGTAAATTGAGTCACGCCAGATTTTATGACTATTTTTGGCTGCAGTTGTTAAGCAAATCATGCAGTCATTAGGCAAATCCGGCTTCCCCCATTGACTTTGCTTGTTGGAAGCCATCTGAGAAAGTTGCCAGTGGTGATCACATAACCCCAGAACATTGCAACCATACTTGTTAAATACTTGCCAGTTGCCAAGAGCCCAAATTTTGACCATGTGGCTCTAGGGATGCCATGACAGTCCTTAAATGCAAGGACCGGCCATTTTTTTCTGTGCTGTTGTAACGTCAAACGGTTGCTAAATGACTGGTTGTAAGTTGCAAACCTACCTATAAGCTGGATTCCCTATGTCAGGTGCCAGCGTGAAATCTCTCTTCACCTCTCACTAGGGTTTGAAACAGGACAGGAGAGCTGAAATATCCTTATCAACAGGGACAAGACCAAATCTCTGCCCTTGGATCTTTGGAAGTCATTCAACGGAGGCTCTATCAAGCCTTGAACATTGTCTGCAGCTTTAAGATCAAACTGCCACATTATCTCTCAAGGATGACCAAACATCTCTTTTGCACAATCTACCAGGGAAGCAGAAATTCTGCCACAAGGTACAAGAATATGGCAGTTAAAAATGGGAGCCTATAAAGATCGCTGTAATTTATTTGGACTTTTCACCATTTGTCTCCTGTTTCAAGTGTACAGTACCGCAGAGGGAAAAAAATGGGAAAAACAAATTGTGCTGTGAAAGAAATTAAATAGGGAAGGGTAAACATGGTGAAAAGAGCAAAGTCTGATCAGGAAAGGGGGAAAAAAATCAGTATTTATATTGATGTTATGGCATAATTGACCTCTGATTCTTTTCCTGGAAAAAGCTCCCCAGTTTCTTATTAAATTGCAATTAGGACTGCAAATACGCTGCAAAACTGAGTTGACTTTCTCAAATGCTGCCTTCCTTTTTCAGTTTTGTGTGTTTTCTTTTTCCTCCGGCGGTTTTCCAGAATCAAAGCAAAAGAATCCTCTGCAGGTTTCATCAGTCTGATGTCCTCCCTGATCCCAAACAAAACCAGAGGCTTGTTTTTCAGCTGCAGAATGTACACAGAGCTTAGCACACAAAGAGCCAGAACGACACACCTGGGCTTGGCTGCCTTTCTTTCAGCTGATGTGACCGAGCTCTTGTCACTGCAGAGTTCTACAGACCATTATTGGCCAACTCTAAGACCCAGATGGAGTTTGACTTTAGCCCTGCACAAACAATTTGCCTTCAGCTGTATACATGTCCTTCCCCCCCACCCAATCACTCAAATTCTTATTCAGAGAGGTGGTCTGCTCTATTTCTGAGAGTACTGCCCCACATAAAAAAAAGGGGGCCATTTCTTTATTTCTCAGAAATGTCCTTACGGTTGGCCTTGCTCGTGGATTTTGCACCCAAGATATGCTGCTAAGCTATAAAGTTCAATTAACCGCTACACCTTTCCAAACTGACTTTTGCCACTTATGCCCTTGTATGTTCATTTTGCAAAGGATAAGGCAAGTGGTTTTTTTTAAAAATTGGAAAGAAGATCCCTAAGGGGAGGAGGGGGAAGAGAAAGGTCCTTTGGTTTGAGTGGGACAAGTTACAAATTTGTCAGCTAATCCCATGGCACTCATCCTGGCTTTATTTGGCTTTCAAGCTTTCCGCAGTCAACATCATCTCCGTGCGTTTCTTACAAATGCAGCTTAGAGCCTCATTTTGGAAATTTTTCAAGAAAACACTATGACAGCAGAAAGGCCTTGCTAGCCAAAATGGCTAATGGAAAAAAAAAGACAAGGCAAATCATTTTGAACCTATCACCTTCACTGTTGACCAGTAAAAAACCAGGAAGAGGTCCCTCCATCACTGTCTTACTGCCCAAGGAAGGAAAAACTATGTGATTGACAGCAGGGTATCTCAATGGGAAATTCTGCCCAGAGTTGCTTTGGATAATGAGATGCTGGCAATTTAATAAATAAACAATTTGCCTCTTGTACATGATGTTATTTTGGCATCTTATTGACAGTTGCTTCTCCCCACCTGAGTTATATTAGATTTATTTTTTTTTGCATCTAATATTTAAGAGTTGGGCTTTTTTTTGTTACTGTGTAGATATGGGTTTTTCCCCCTTTGTTGTTGACAGCTTATTCTCCAACCTGGGACAGTCTTACTAGAATTTTTCTTGCATTGGGATCTGATGTTTTAAAATTGGGCTTTTTTTTGTTATTGTGTAAATATGTTTTTCCCCCTCTATTGTATTTTTTTTATTGAAAAGCAACTCAAGAAAAGCTTATTTAAACAACCTGTTTACAAATAAGGTGGCAGTCATATCCATCACACCTTCCTCCTTTGTGTCTGACTGAGGAATTCTGGGAGTTGAAGTCCACAAGTCATAAAAGGGCCAAGTTTGAAGACCCCTGCACTAGACCAAACTCGAACCAGGTGTGTTCTCTTGCTATCTTTAAATGGAGACATCTGCGCTTTGATGTGTAGAAACCCCATATTCGTACTGCGATTGTGTTAACATATACCCAATGGATAAAATTTTATCATTCTTCAACCTTTTGAATCAGATCCTGTTTCCTTGCTTCTTTTAAATGGAAAGCTGCGACTTTAAGAATTCTTCCATGGAAGAAAATCCCATTAAGAGCAACAGGCCTTCTCTAAACGTTAATATGATCAGCATCGCCTTGATTCATTTTCCATTTGAATATTTCAAGTCCATTTAATCCATTGAATTTTTAACTTAGCTCTTTCACCGTCGTCAGTTCTGGCCCCTCTTGGCTGGAGGTACGTTCCAGGTTAATTTCCAAACGTATATAAACAAAACCATGTAAATGTTAAAGTCCATACACATTTGCTTTCCTACCCTTAAAATGCTGCAATGATATTTCTTTAGTAGATAAAAATCAGCTTTGCAAAGGACACCATGAATGTCACTTCAAGCCGCGCATTTGCAAAAAAAATATATGAGACATCAGCCGGTGCTAAAAATCTTGTGATTCTTAATAGTGAACACCCACACTCTTTTTAAAGAATTTTTTTTTTTTTAAAAAAAAAATCCTTTTACCCTCTGAAACTTGACAACCCTATTTCTTAGGCTTAATGGATTTCTAAGTGGGGGAATCAAACACATATAATAGGATTTACACCTTAATTTGTAACAGGCAAGCGTTTTAGCATTGTGGTAAGTGATTAAATTTAGTAGAAGGCAAAATACATTCTCTATTCTCTCTGCTCCAACCTTTCAGGTAATTTCTAAAACTGCATGGCTGAAAACTTACAAGGAAGCAAAGCACCATTAATAACCCGCACCAATATACCGGTATTAGTCTTTAAGATGCCGTAAGATCCTCTGAAGTTAGCGCTACCTACTGACTCACAAAAGACACATCTTTTGGGAAGATGCTTCAGGTCAAGCAACCGGGAGTTGAAGTCCACAAGTCTTAAAGTTGCCAAGGTTGAGGACCCCTGGGTTTAATACATCTGGAAGGTGTGCAGTTTGTAGGTTTTACTTGTCAAAAAGTATAACATTGAAGGTAATAATTTAAGTACAAGGCTCCATCAGACAAGCTCTCCCACTCTTAGAGCATCCTAACTCTGGAGGGTTGCTTAAAAGATCTCCCCAACTTCACTCATCAAGCTGGCAGAAAAGACAGCCTAAAAAGATTGCCTAGCTGTACTTTAAACAAAAATTAGTTGCATACCACATGCTAAAGTGTGGTCAGCTTCTTTGTGGTGCCATATGGTTAGTTTATGGTTGGGCCTATTGTAAACCTTAAGTTCAATAAACCACAGGGGTCAGAAAATGTTGTTTTACTTGAGAATGGGTTAGTCGTGATATATCAACACAGCTAAAAGTCTTGCATTTATTCAGTTACATGAAGACCGAGTGGGTATTCTGTTGGATTTACAGACACCTACCGGAAGTTATACAGTACTTTATTTACACATTGTGGTTTGTGTAAACCTCAAATGGGTGGCCATTTTGATGTCATGGCCATTCTAAGCCTTTTGATAAAGAGCACAAAGGGCAAGATCACAGTGTGGGTGTCTACTCACTCTTCTATTGTGTGAATATAGTCGCTGCATTGTTTGGGAATTGGGGAAGATGTAACTTCAGCCGGTTGGTGAAAGTCTTGGTTAGTGGGAATGGGGTTCAATCCTGGAGCCATCATCTCTAGAATTCACTTCATCAGAAGGTCTCTCCCTCGCTCTCTCTCCCCCCACACCCGCCCCCTTTTGCCGTTACGGTTCATTTAGTGACTGTAACTTGCAACAGTTCATTTATTGACTGTTTGAAGTTACAACACGACTGGAAAAAGTGACTTATTACCATTTTTCACACTTACAACCATTTCAGCCTCCCCACGGATCAAAATTCAGACTCTTGGCGACCGACTCCTATTTAAGACGTTGCAGTATCCCGGGGTCACGTGATCCCCTTTTGCAAACTTCCTGACAAGCCAAGTCAACGGGGGAAGCCAGATTAGCTTAACATCCATGTTCCTAATTTAACGACAGCAGCGATTCGCTTTACAACTGCGGCAAAGAAAAGTTGTTGAACGGGGGCAAAACTCACTGAACAAACATCTCACCGAACCACAGAAATGTTGGGCTCAGTCGCGGACGTAGATCGAGGACTGAGTTGTGTTAGGATAAATAAGCAACCTTGTTAGACTCTTGGAGGGCTTACATTGCAATCAGCTGGCATCCTTCGAGCAGTGTCTTGCAACTGTAAGGGGTGCTGAATTCAAGTCCTAGTCTGAGTTGAAGTTCACACTTCTTAATGTTGTTGGCGAGCCAGTTAACTGGACCGATTCTCTGGGCGCACCTAACACGCCGAAAGCATCCTGCTAGGCTGCATTAACAGAGGGATAGAATCAAGATCACGTGAAGTGTTAATACCACTTTACAAGGCCTTGGTAAGGCCACACTTGGAATACGGCGTCCAGTTTTGGTCACCACGATGTAAAAAAGATGTTGAGACTCTAGAAAGAGTCCAGAGAAGAGCAACAAAGATGATTAGGGGACTGGAGGCTAAAACATATAAGGAACGGCTGCTGGAATTGGGTCTGTCTAGTTTAATGAAGAGAAGGATGAGGGGGGACATGATAGCAGTCTTCCAGTATCTCAGGGGCTGCCCCAAAGAAGAGGGAGTCAAGCTATTCTCCAAAGCACCTGAAAGGAGGACAAGAAGCAAAGGATGGAAACTCATCAAGGAGAGAAGCAACCTAGAACTAAGGAGAAACTTCCTGACAGTTAGAACAATTAACCAGTGGAACAACCTGCCTCCAGAAGCGGTGAATGCTCCAACACTGGAAGTTTTTAAGAAGAGACTGGACAGCCCTTTGTCTGAAATGGTATAAAGTTTCCTGCCTGAGCAGGGGGTTGGACTAGATGACCTCCAAGGTCCCTTCCAACTTTACTATTATTATTATTGTCCGAAATGGTATAGGGTTTCCTGCCTGAGCAGGGGGTTGGACTAGATGACCTCCAAGGTCCCTTCCAACTTTACTATTATTATTATTATTATTATTATTATTATTATTATTATTATTATTATTGTTGTTGTTGTTGTTGTTGTTGTTGTTGTTGTTGTTGTTGTTGTTGTTGTTATTATCCCCACCCTCCAGGCTCGCTGGGTCGAGCGAGGCGCCCCCTCCCCCTCTCCTCCCCCTCCCCCGTTTTGCCACCCCAGCCGCAGCGAAAAGCCCCGCAGGTGCGGGGAGGGGAGGGGACGAGGACTCCCCCTCCCCTCCGGACGCTTCCCCTCCCTCGGCGGCGGCGAATCCCTGGCTGCGGAGGGGCGCCGTTGAGCCTGCAGGGGGCGCTCGGGCGCCGCCTGGCTGTCCCAGGCTGAGCCTATGAGAACCCTACGAGGGAGTCGCCGGCCCCTTAGGAGGAGGAGGAGGAGGAGGGTGAGGGTGGTGAAGACTAAGCTTAGGACTAGCGCTGCGCTGGGTGAGAAGCAGCGGAGAAGCTCCGTCCTCCGCGTTGCCGGCGGAATCTCCGCGCGCCTCCCTCCCGCCTCTCAGGAGTAACTTCGGAGTAGCCCAGAGGCAGCCTCGGGATTTCAGCGGAGTAAGTGTCTCTCTCTCTCTCTCTCTCTCGCTGTCTTTGCGGGAGGAGTGGAAGGAAACGACGGGGAGAGGGCTACCTGCCCCTCTGGGTCTGGGCTCGGCGCCCAGGGCGGCTCTTACTCTTTCGGGACTTGCCCTGAGTAAGGTGCTGACTCCGGCCGGACCACTTTAGAGTTGCCTTTCCAATTTGGAAAGAGGGGACCTTTCTCCTCTCTTCTCCCCACCCCTGCTTGCCTGCGTTTTTCAGCCCGCTTGTGGCACTCAATAGGAGAGAGTAACGGGGTCGGTTCCTCTCCTCTGCCTTTTCCAAACGCACGAGATTCAGGCTCTGCGTAACTCTTGGTCGTCGGAACCCGGAGCATCTCTCGGGGGATAGGAACAAACTTTTTTAACTTCGGAGAAAAGGTAGCTGTTCCCTCCCTCTTGCTTTCAGGAGCCCTTGGCTGAAGCCAGCTGTGTTTTTGCACCTGGTCTGCTTCTGATGCTCCGGTTTTAATTGCCTGGGTTTTTTTTTTTCTTGGTTGCTCGTCAATCTGCCCTTTTCCCCCGACCGCTTCTAGGCTTCTATTTAGACTCGGGTTTTACTCGGGAGTTTTTCTTCTAAAAGAGCGCGCTTGCTGTCCATCTTTTAGGGAGCTGCGGCTGCAAATAGATCTTTAAAGGACCACTAGACAATGATTTGCTTGGAATGGAAAAGCAACGTCAATTGATACCGATTTAGAGGGGAAAAAAGAGGAAGTTTGCCTAGGTTCGTGATTCTTTTTTTTTACCATTTTCTGCACCTTTCTGATTTACTCGCTGGTTTCGGGTAAGGAACACCCCTTGTGATTTGTGTAAGGCCCTTTATTTTAATTTAATTTATTCAATGAATCACTTATCCCACCTTTGTTACTTGGTAAGTAAGGCAGTGAACACACATGCATAAAACTCCTTCCTCCTCCAATTCCCCAACAACAAAAACAACAACAACCCTGTGAGGTTATGCCATGTGTTGTCTTGCAAGACTCCCTGTGTTTCTTCAGCAAGGTGCTAGACCATAAGAAGTGGGCATTTTAGGTGAAAGCTTGACTCCAGAAATCTAGGGAAGTCAGGCTTTCTCTTGGGAGTTTTCGTTGTGTCTAGGTCTACTTTGGAGTATATGCAGAGGGCACCCACACTCACACTCCTCCTGCCTAATGATATGTAACAGGAGCCTGCAGCACCAAACAAAAAAACTTAACTTTGGAAATAAGTACAGGTTCTTGTGAAAGACAACAGGCTATTAGGGGAGGTTCCCAAATCCGGTTACCTTTCATTTTGAGACCGGTCCCCACGCTTGACCATCACACACTGATCTTTAGGCTGTGGGGTAATGACAGGAGTCTGGAGCTTGACAGGATGGGCATCGTGGCAAGGGAGAACAAGGGCTCTAGAGCCACGGTGCGGTCGGGAGAGATGGCATTTGGGGTGCTGCCAGCTCCCTTTGAGGGTGGGGAGGTTGATGATTCTGCTGCACGTGCCTCGGTTCACACACACCCAGGGAGTGTTTTTGGCAGCCCTGGGAACTTGCCAGCTTTTTCCAGTCAGAAGAGTATGCGGCAGGTTTACTTGCGTGCTTTGGAGTTCAGGGCTGGTTAAAGATAAGGGTGTAAACTTTTCTTGCCAATTGGGTAAAAACTTCAGCCAGGCTGATGCCTCCAAGAAGCTCCCATTTGTGGACACTGGTTCCTTTTTCCTTGTTCCTTTTTTTGGTTTGTCCTCAATAAGTGGTCCGAGGTTGCCCTTAACAAGAAAGGGACCTTGCTTTGAAAAATGTTAAACTTTTCCTGTTGCAAAGATCGGCTTGTAGTGCCTTCATCTTATTCCGGATAGTCGTCCTTCAGCCCCAACGTAGACCTTTGTGATCCTGGTCTCTCTCTCTCTCTTCCAGGTGCACTACTGAAGGTCAGTTATCAAAGTAGGGAAGGTCAGTTATCAAAGTGGGATTGTGTAGCCTTGGGAGCAATTGAGGGCTACAAGTAGTCCTTATTTAGCAATCATTTGTAGTTACGACGGTGTTGAAAAATATAATTTTACAATCAGTCCTCGCATTTGCGGCCTTTGCAAGTCTGCAAAGCAAAAGAAAGTAGAAATAAGCTGATAAGCACAGCTGCAGTTTTACTTAGCTGCACCTGCCTGGCTTAAAAACTGGAAAATTGCATTGCTAAATGAGGACTGGACTAAAACAAGTAAAGCAAAAGTAATGGAATGCGCCAAGGCCAAAGCAAGTTTTGATTTGACTTCCTTTGCATCTCATTAAAGTTAAATAGTTCAATGATTATTCTCTAAAGGCCGTGTTTAATTCCACCCTTCTTTCTGAGGGATGGTATATTTTGACAGTTCTGCTCTTGCATCAGTTGTGGGGCGGTTGAGCTGAAAGTTGTGTACTTCTAACTGAAAGTATCCACAGGGTACAGTTGAAAAGATGGTGGCAGAGTTCCAAAGACTTTGCAGCTGCCATTTTGACTTTTTTGCATGCCTCCTGCAGTGCAAATTGAACTTTGTAGCCTTAGCTTTTTAGAAAAACCAAAGGGTACAAAGAACTATCTAAAATCATTAAGGCTGTCCTTAACCACCAAAATATTACCCGTTGCCCAAATGTTGCTTTAATCCAGGGATCTTCAAACTTGGCCCTTTGATGACTTGTGGACTTCAACTCCCAGAATTCCTCAGCCAGGCACACGTGCCTGGCTGAGGAATTCTGGGAGTTGAAGTCCACAAGTCATCAAAGGGCCAAGTTTAAAGACCCCTACTTTAATCAAATGATGAGTGCTCAAGGCCTTGCAAAATTCTTTGCCTCACCTCCGATGCTGTTAAAGCAGTCTGAATTATGCAGAATAAGCAGACGAGTGAAAGATATCCTAAATTCTCCTGACTTTCAGTTTCAGAATTCCTCTCTCTCTATCTCTGAATGATTATACAATTCGGAGTCTATCCAATGCCTCTTCATGCACCGTCCTCCTTTGTCTGTTCAATCTGTCCTTATCTGTGCTTTGGGGGAAAAAAAACTGCACTCCCCAGAATAGGGAGAAATTTAACTCTGGACTGGCTGCCACGAGCAATGCAGAGGCAGCATTTTTGACCCAAAGTAACAGGGGAAGTGCAAAGTCCAATTATTGCTTCTGTTAGCATAAAACTAAGACTTTGGGGCGTCCTCCCACCCTACCAAACAGGGAGTAAATTTCTTGCAGAATCCATTGCAAGTTTTTCATTGGTGACATAATTGACCAAAGTAACTACTTCCCTCCAGACGAGGTTAATTGGGCAACCCTGAGAGTCTTCAAAAAATGGGAAACTTCCTATTTGAGACGTGGTTGGGACTAGCTCCAGGTAACCCTGTCAGTGAGGTGGGAGTCTATGCTCATTCTGCCAGGAAAGGATTTTATGAAGCAAAGAGGGACCGTTTCCAGGACTTGATTCAACTGGAGGATGCTGTATGGATAAAGCCTAACCCATCTAACATTTAGTTTTGCAAAGAGGAAGTAGGTGGAAGAAAACCAACTCTGCCACCATTTTGTTCACCAGTTCTTATCTTTCGTCTCACCTCTGCTTAATCCCCATGGTTTGACTTGCAGTGCATAAGTGAATGTAACTTATGGTGGCTTGTTCAATAACCATGGCTAAAGCAAGTTCATGTGTGGTGTGCATCAAGGTACATCTTTCAGCTATAGTATAATTCAGTTCACCTGCCAGTTTGGGGTAGTGCTTAAAGCATCAGGCTAGAAATTGGAGGCCGAGTTCTTGTCCTGTCTTTGGCATGAAGCCATCTGGGTGGCCTAGAGCCAGTCACACACTTTCAGCCCTGGGAGAAAAGCAATGGCAAACCACTTCCAAAATCTTGCCAAGAAAACTGCAGGAGCAGTTTTCATGTGGCTCCCCGAGAGTCGAGACCGACTCAAAGGCAGCCTTCTCCCCACCAGAAGTTCACCTTTGATTATTCTAGTGAGTAAAAAAAGGCCAAGCAAATTTAAATAGAATATACACCTCTAGTTGGACACTTTTTAATGGCCATTCTTAGCCTTCTTAGTTGGGGTAATGAGCATGCAGCACATAATTGGGAAGTATTTCTAGAGCTGCCATTTTCTGTGTCATTTCAAATCATCGCAGGCGCACATTTTCCTTTCAAACCTTAGCTGCAGTCACACACATGCTACAGCGCAACCACAGTTGAGCCCAAATTTTACGTTATGTTGTTAAGTGAGAAATTTGTTAGGTGAGTTTTGCCCCATTTTTATGACTGCTCTTGCCCCATTCTTTAAGTGAATCACTGCAGTTGTTAAATGAGTAACATGGTTGTTAAGTGGTGTCCTCGTTGACTTTGCTTGTCAGAAGGTCGCAAAAGGTGACACTGCAACGGCGACAAATGTGAGCAACCAGTTCTTGGTGTCCTTGCCATGGTTTTTCTGAGGCATCTACTTGACTTTAGTGCTATTCGTAAATCTGCTTATAACAACTGCTGGATACTTCTTCTAAATGAATAAGCTATTGTAGATGTGTGCGCACCACTTCAAGGGCATCTCTTGAGTGTGAGGTCTTCAACTCAGTGTTTGGTCTTCAACTGGAGGAGGATCTGTTTACGACCACAGAGACTGGAACACAAATGTACTTTGTCCATCATTTGCTCTCCTATTTTTGTCCTCCCCCCCCCAGTCCCATCAGGTTTTTTGGGGGTAGATATTCTTCTTTCTTTCCCCCCCCCTCTATTAGAAACAGAGGTTATTTGTATTCTTGGCTGGACTGGGGGATAGTTTCCTGCTGGCAGAAAACATGTAACTTCAGGAAATTCTCTCTTGAAGGCTGTCTTTGTGTTAAGTTAATTTCTGGTTGGCTGTTACGGGAGAGATCCTGCAGCTGGAAACAGTTTTGGGGAAGTTGCTCTGTTGCTCAAAAAAACAAACAAACCAACCCCAAAACAAAACAAAAATAACAACCAAGCAATTTGCAGTACCTTGAAGACCGACCCCTTCTTAGAAAATGTGACCT